TATATATATATATATATATATATATATATATATATATATATATATATATATATTTAAAAATTACTATAAGTGCTCTCTATAGGAACTATTGAGATACTATTTTACTTCAAATATTGTGAACTTTATCTTTGTATTACTAGATAGCAGCTATTTTATACAAAGAAAAAGTATGTAAGTATAATGTTAATGTTACAGAAGATAGGCACGTGTGTTTTTGTTAAAAATGCATTAATGTTTTGTTAAGAACATTGATTTTTTCATTTCACTTATATTACAAAATATATTTTTACTCAATATAAAACATTCACGCGTATCAAGTGCATGAATAAAGATGGAATATAATGCCTTTCGAGGTAAGAATATTTTTCAATATAACCTTTATTAATTTCGTGCAATAAAATAAATTAATAAATTAATAAATTAATGTGAAATTTGTAGATTATTGTAAAGCTGAAAATAGTGAAGATGAAGAAATGAATCATGATCTACAGTCACGATTATATGCTGAAATTTATTATAGTTCAAATGATATAAAGAATGTGGATACAAAAACAAATATTAAATTAGAAGATATTAATAATGATGATAAAACGCTTCATAAAGATACAAATAGCAGTCAAATTAGTGATATTCGTATAAAAAATGATCCTGATAAAAAAACTTGTCCAATAAATGAATCAGCGAATAATTCAATATTAGTAGAAAAAGATAATAAACCAGATGTTGCATCTATTTGCATTATAAATGAAACTAATCAAACATTATGTGAGGATATAAATAACAAAAGTAATTCAGATGTATCTCATGTGAAAATTTTAAAAGAAGAAAATATTGAACCTTTAAAAAATAATGAACAAGTAATAACATGTCATAAAATAGAACATGATGAAAATAATTCAGATTATGAAAACATTCATAATATTGAAAAAGTTACAAATATAAAACCAAAATCAGAAAATGAAATCAAAGAAGAATTAAAACCTTTACAATGCTTAAATAATGAAGCAATTGCAAATCAAGATACTCTACATTCTACAAAAGATAATATTGAAAATAACAATGAGAAATGTCATGAAATTATGAATAATGAAACAAAAATTGATAATATTTTTAAAAAATATGAATTTTCCAAATCATTTATTAATAATTTGTACTTAAAAAAATATGAAAATCTAAAAAAAAGACTGCAAGAAATAGAAGAAGAAAAACAAAAAAGTTTAAGAGAAAATGAATGTGTTAAAGAAAACAAAGAAAATCAACAGCAAATCATTATTGAGCAAGAGTTATGTGCAAAATCTATAAATGACGTAGAAGCGAATACAAAATATGAAATACTTAGTAGATCTGACAAGTTACAAAAAAAAGCTAATTTTTCAGAAGAAATAACATTGCTATCGTCAGATACAGAAAGTGATTCTGAAGAATCTATTTTAGAAGTTCCTATTCCACCAAAACCTCAACCACCTGTCATAAATTTACAAGATTCAGATGAAAATTCTGAAACATCAAGTGATAATAGTGATATAGATGAAGAATCTTCATTTATTATAGAAAAAAAAATGATTTGGTAGGAAATACCAAAAAAAAAACTGTTGTAATTGACCAGAATTCAGATAATAGTAATTCAGTTATAGATTTTATTGATGATACACCAACAATAGAAAATATAGTGCTTAACTGTACAGAAGTACAGAAAGGTGCTTCAAGTATAAAAGAAATAATGGAAATGAGTAAAATTGTTCAATCAGATCAACACTTTAACAAAGATGCGAATTCTTGTGAGAAACATAAGTCTTCTAATGAAAAAGAAATTTATATTAAAGATTTTAATAAGTCTGATGATTTATTCATATCTAACAATGATAAAGACAATAAATCTAATTTTCAATCACCATCAAAAACAATTAACGATAAGAATGTTATGTATGAAAGAGATAAGAAAGAAGTAAATAATTTTGCAAAAGATGTAATAGTATCAAATTTTCTTAATTCCAAAGAATTGAGTTCAAGTAGAAAAAGACATCATGAAAATGATAGTGAACCTTCTACGAGTGAAAATAAACGTTCTAAATTAAGTTGTGAAGAAGATAATAATAAAGATAAAAATAATGAAGACTCATGGGCAGAATATTTTTTTCGCCCTATGTCACAAGATCTTAAAGCTTTTTATGAATTCCAAGGACAGGAAAATTTTGATATAGGAGAAATTCAAAGTAAAATGTCAAGTGAGTTATTAAAAATTAACTTTATTTATAAATTTATTATTTTTGAATATTTTATATTTTAAATAAATTATAGAGGACCCAAGACTTTGGGCTATTTTAGATGAAGACCTAATGCCAAATTTATTAAAAAATAAAAGATATTGGAATATAAAATGTACTAATTGTCATCAACCAGGTCACCAAAAACATAATTGTCCAGAACCATATAAACCTCTTCGATGTTATATGTGTGGTATTCAAGGACATATAGAAACTCGATGTCCTCAAAAAATGTGTCTCACGGTATAAATATATTATGAAAAATATAATATATATATATATTAAATATATTATATTAACATACAAATTCTATATATATTATAATAACATACAAATTCTTTGCAGTGTGGTAGAAAACAAAATACATTTAGAAAAACTTGTGAGTCTTGTGTTGTATTATATTGTAACACGTGCAATGCTATAGGACATGAATCAACTGAATGTCCAGATCTTTGGAGAAGATTTCATCAAACAGTGAGTTCATATATAAATGTTATATTTAAATGTTTTATACAATTATAATTTAATTATAATTTAAATATCTTAATATTTTTGTTAATTTTATATATTGTAGACACGAACATCAGAGATAAATATACCACAAAACTTATCTGAAGTTATGAAACCTGCAGACTTATTGTATTGCTGTAATTGTACGAAACGAGGTCATGATTCTTCTACATGTAATGAATATCGATGGTCACAACATTTTCCGACACCAGCATTTGTATCAGATTATACAGGAAAACCAGAAGAAAAATCCAGTCAATCAGAACAAACAACTAATCAAATTTCTGTTCATGGAAATGAAGATATAATACCATTAACTAATAAAAAAAATAAATGTATGATATTTCTTGAAGGTAAAGATGATTTAGAAAATTCTTTTGTTGTATACTCATATGGAAAATTTTATACGAAAAAGCCTAATGGCGAGGAAATTAAACGAAAACTTTTGGGTGAACAAATTCAACCTTCTCATATAACAAATCTTTTAAAAGGTCGAGTTTCTCCACATTTCTTGGATGAATTAATAAAAATAATTCAATTTGAAATTAAAATATATTATAATTCAAACAAAGAACTAATGTTAAGAGTTCGTACTATAGCAAATAATGCTGTAAATATAATAAAAATATTCATTTTTTGGCTTAAACTTAATGATGAAGACAAGAATCTAAAGATACATATAAATTTACCTCGTAATAGGAAGAAATTACTTAAGTTTTTGATACAAGAAATAGGTGAAATAAAAAGAAATTTAAAAGATCCTAATCATCTTTGTAGTGAAATAGATCAATTAAAGAAATCAATGACTGAGATTCAAGATTCTGCAATATCGATTTCTACTTCAAAAAAAATCATAAGCCTTCGAAGTGAATTGTTAAAAGTGTTTCATACATTACCTAATTATAATCAATTATTTAAAAAACTAAAAAAAATGATTAAATATTTAGACAGATCACCAAACAATGATGTAAACATAGGAATATATTTACATATTATTGCTATTTATAATCAAATATTTGTACCTCGTGCATTGACAGACATTGAAATAAAACGTCTTCTTAAAGTACATTATAAACATAAAGAAAAACAAATTAAAAATGAAAAAAAGAAGATTCAAACTAAAAAGCAAAAAGATAAGAAACTTTCTTCTTATGAATCATTCGTAGAAAGTTTACAAAAATTTAATTCTAAAAAAACATGTAATATCACAAAAAATAGTGATGCATGTTCATCAAAAAATATTGAAATAAAAGATAAACAAGTACCTACTATTCTTTCTGTAGAAAATGTTCTGATGAGTAAGATGCAAAATACAACATATAATACAGAAAATGTTTCTGTTAAAATACATAATATAGGAAATAATATTACAGAATCTGATAAGCCTATACAATTACCACATAATCAGGATATTTCAAATAATAATGAAATAACAAATTCTATACAAAAATCAGATTTAAAAATTATTTCATCAAATTTAATTCCTATAACTCTTCAAAAATCTATATGTACTAATGTAACATCAAGGACATCTAAGAATGTACCTTGTGCCAAAATAAAACCTTCAGGAAATACAGAGAAAAATTTAGAAGTAATGAATAGTAATAATGAAAAAACAAAAACAAGTAATTTACAACAAGAAGATAATATAATTGATTCTGAAATAAGTATCCTCAAAAAGAAAAAATCTAAGAAAACAAAAAAAGCAAAATTAGATCTTGAAAATAATTCAGATGTTATAGAAAATCAAGTGGCAAATGTTGGTACATCTATAGAGAATAAAGCTAATGAAATTATAAATGAAGCTCTTGAATTTAATGTACCATATATGAATAAAGCTGTTGAAGAGATTAAAAAAAGAATAAATGATAAAAATCTTAAACAAGAACATATTGATACTTTAATAAGATTAGTAAATTTGGAAAAAGAACACAGGAAATATGTAAGTTCATTTTGTAATTATTTGCAATAAATTTTATTTTTAAAATAAGAAATAATAGTCTTTATTAAAAGCTTTCATTATATACTGATATGCTAAATGGATGAAATAAAGGTCTATTGGCATTTTGAATAAAATAAACTTATAATTTTTTTTCAAATATCCTTTTAATATCAATATTCATAAATAAATAAAAAATAAAATCCACTTTTAAGTAATTTTATATAAAACTGCAATAAACTTACATTGTATGCAATTATAGTTGTATTCTCATTTAAATTAATATCTTTACAACTAAATATCTTTTACTAAAGATTATATTTACAATATTTTTAATTCAATAATATTATATACTTAATTTATATATTTAAATAATAAGTTTAAAATAGATATTATAAATTTTAAGAATTTATTATTAATTGAATAATAATCTCAGTTATAATACATTTATTATTAGTTTTTATTTAGAATAATGTAATAATATCTTAAAATATTAAGATAAAAAAGTTTAGTATATACAAATTATATCTTTATGTCTATTTTTTTTTTTGTAAATAAAACAATTTTATTTAGACAAATATGTATTTTATACCCTTATCCTATAATTATATTATAATAGGACACTCCAATATCATACTATTTAATATATATAATAAATTATTATATTAATTATAAAAATAACACTAATATTATATTTATATTTAATTTTATTTTTAGTTTTTAGAATTAATATCTTCTGTATCTTAACATTCCAAAAATATATTGCATGTTATGAAAGGGAATTCAAATTTTTAATGAATCATATTTACATATACATGTTACATATCATGCTATTTAACATATATGATAAATTGATGAATTATTTATACCAATATAATTAAAATAATTGTTAAAATTATATATTTTCTTCATTATTTCTTCATTGGTGGAGGTCCTCCCATAGGTGGTGGTGGTCCATTCATTGGAGGTCTCATTGGACCCATAGGTCCCATAGGACCCATCATTGGTCCCATTGGTCCCATAGGTCCCATCATAGGTGGTCTCATACCCATCATAGGTGGCATTGGTCCATGTGGTCCCATCATCATTGGACCTCCAGGACCCATTGGACCACCAGGATGCATGCCTGGAGGTGGCATCATACCTGGTGGACCTTGAGGTGGTACTCCAGGTCGTGGGCCAAGATTTGGAGGTGGTGGAATTGCTGCTCCTTTGTTTGCTGCAAAAGGATTAGAAGCGATTTTCCCAGCTTTAAATGCTGCTGTTGTTGCATCAATTAAATGTTGTGCTTGTTCTTCCATCCATTTTTGATAGAAATATTTAACATTGTCCTTATGTTTACGGCCCTGACAGTGAGTTTTTCGCACACTCGGTGAATCATGTGTTAAATACGTATCACAATAATCACAATAATATTTTGGCATTGTTCATTTGAATTAACATTAACCAAATAACATAAAAACTATGTTTCTTACAATATATTACACAATTTTTTATTATTGTATCAATTTTTAAATTTTAATGATTAAATATAGGTTATATACATGCGTCTTTTATAATCAAACTTTAATTATAACTATAACTTAGACGAACAAATTATATATGAAAATCTTTTCTTTTAGCTCCATCTATCGACTTACAGAATAAACATATTACTATGACTAAATTTTTTTTTTAATTTTTTACTAATGTTTTATATTAATGTTAAGTAGTAAAAGAAAATTTTTATAATATATCTATCCATATATTATCAAATATAAACAAAATATATTTCATATCTATATATTATATTTATTGAATTGAATCACTGAACGTAAATAACATCACGTGATCAAAATCTAGGGGAATCAAGAATGGCTTCATAATTTTGAAATATGAAATAGAAAGTATACTTATCTATATATTAGTTTATTTATGGAATTATTCTGTAATATAAAAGTAAACATGATATAAAATATAAGTTTTTTGAATTAAAAGTTGATAAATTTATTTACTAAAAATTTTACTCTTTTTATATATAATTAAATATATTTTTTTACGAAAATTTCTATTTTTTATTAATTTAAAATTTACTAAGATTTCTAATAACATATTTACAAAATTAAATGATTTGTTTTACTTCCTTTTTTCCATAGCATTCTATACAAAGTTTTTGTGTTAAATAAGAAATGTTAATATATTATATGTAATTGATATTTATAATCTATTGTATTTATATATTTATTGTGTTAATCTATATCCTTTACACTTATATTATTTATATTTCACTTGTGATATATAAATATATATCAAAGAATTACAAGATAAATATGTAAATAAAAAACATAGATGAGATACGAAAGGTTTAAATTTGGAAATTTATATTTAATTAATATAATTCATATAATTATCTAGATCAGATATTTATTATTTGAATAATTTGTATTCACTTATTTTTAGTATAACAAAAAATTATTAGATTAAACTTATTTGTATTCAATCTAATCCAATGTTGATAATATAATAATCTGATATATATATATATAATTTTTTATATAGATAGGAATTTAAAAAAGATATGGAAATTTTATTTTTTTAAAAGAATGTATTTTTTTTATTCATATTTTAATAAAAAATTTCAAGACAAACAAAAATAGAATAATACATATCATTCAGAATCAATTGGAAACGTATGGAAAAAAAATTATTTTAACCAATTAAATATTTTTATTTTATTATTACTTTTATAATTTAAATTTATATCTTGTTAATTAATTGTCTATGTTGAAATTTAATTTTTATTTTTTTATAAAAATATAAATATACATTTACAAGAATTAATGCATTTTAGAGATCAAAATGAAAGAATCAGTTAATGTATAAAAAATTGAGGTTTAATTAATATTTTATCATTAATATTTTATTATTAATTATAAATAAGTTACAAACAATTGAAATTTGCATTAAATACAAAATGAAATAAAATAAGTTAGTTCTATTTCTGTCATATCACTTTATTTAATGCAAACTTAAATTGCTCATAAATTAGTTAAGATTCACTCGATATTTTTGTAAATTAATTTTTATTTCATTTAAAATAATTGTTTATTTCAGCTGCTATTAACATCCTGTATAAATTATTGTAAATAATAATTTATCACTGCAAAAATAAACAGTTAGATCTAATATTATTAAACAAATATAAAGATATATCCAATACTATTTTATATTTAAATCTTAATTTCTGAAAAGTTTAATTGAATTCTAATTCTGTTATATTAATTATGTAATCATTCTAAACAAAGATTTTTAATATCGAAAATTTGATAAACATATTGTATTAATAATCAAATTTGAATGAATTTTTATATAGTATTATTTATATTATATATAGTATTTAAAAAAATAATTTTAAAGAATAGGAATTTATTAAAAATGCTATAATATTCTAGCCTTATATTATGCTATATTTTTCGTTTAAAAAAATATTTTATTCATTATTTTATAAAATTATTATATATATATATTAAAATTATTACGTATGTAACGAGATTGAAAAACAATAATTCCATTGGAATCTTAAAATTAAATTCTCTATGGACATGTTTCGACGACAGCACATTGGCACTGTTCTTGAATTCTTAAAATCTGTAAGAGTTTTGGGAGAACTTACTAGGGTAATTTATCGGTGGCCTCTGCTTGGCACCTGCAAACTCATACTGCAGTTCTCGAAGATTGCCGAATCACTGCAGAAATGCCATTTCTTGCCTCTCTTTCCCAATAGGATAAATTGTACATATATATATATATATATATATAACGCGCATTTCACTTAAAGCAGCAATGCTTTAATGCTGATTTATGATTTTTTTAAAATCATTTATATCTGAAGAATAATTAAAATTGAAAATTATTTATATTGCTATTATTTATATCATTATATTTATTATTATTCATTAAAATTAATGAAAATTCATTACAATTAAGATATTACATTTTTTTATTAGATTAGGTTAAGTTATATTAAGCTAAGATATTTCACATTATATTAAAATTATATTACAATTGTTCATTACAATTAAAATATATTAAAATATCAGATAATAATAATAAAATATATTATCTTCTTAACTATTTTTAAAATTTTAGTTAAATTTAGTAAAATCACATAATTTATAATTATTATTCCTAACATATTTTCCTAACTTATTCCTAACTTATTATATTATAGTTTAGCAAAGTTTTAAATATCGTAATTTTTATTATATCGTAATTATTTTAATCTTCAAATTATGTATATGCCTATATCTGTTCATTCACATAACAAATGTAACTTTGAGAGTAAAGTTTGCTAGAAAATAGTGCATATCACGCTCAGACAGATTTTGGTTCGTATATTCAGTCGAAGTATCTAGTGGTTACGTCTGTGAACGTAGGACTAACTATTAATTTCAAATACATGTTATATATTTCACTGACAGAAGTTTAACTTTTGATTAGATTAAGTTATATCTATATGGCAGATTTCTGAACAATTTAATCATTCGAATTATAAGATAGAAAAAATCTGTGATGTATATGTGATTTTATTTCACAGCTAAAATGAAGTTAAAATTTTTGAGTATTATGTATATGAATAATTTGTTGAAAAGCAATTTTATATTAATTGTTTATTTAATTAAATCTAATAGATAAATGCAATAAATTAAATTATATAAATTTCCAAGTTTTAAGAAAATTAAATTAACTTAAATTTATAAGATAACTTTTTCTTTAAATTTTTCTGTTTATAAATCTTATTTATCATTATAATACAACCGATTTAAATAAATAATAAAAGTTTTACGATATTTAATGTTTAAATCAGATCATTTTGAATCAATAATCTCATTCATTTTTGAGTTGAATTGCAAAATGTAGAATGTTGTTGATAACAATGATTCAAGGATTATTGGTAACTTGCCAAGTTTTCTTCAATAAAAACACATTAAAGGCTCACATTAAAAGCAATATCTTTATCAATCCATAATCATTTGAATTTTAGAATAATAAACAATGTATATAATGACAATTTGTATGTTTTTGTATGTTTTAAATTTTTCGAAATTATTTAATATATCTGAACTATTTTATTTTAAAATAAATAAAAATGTAAGAATTTCTTTATTATGTTAGATATCACATTTTTATTGAATATAATAGAATTATCAACATTCTTATAGTATTATATAACATATATAATATAATATATATGTTACAATAACAATCTTAGTATTTTTATTGTATGTAACAAAATTTACATATATATATAATAATGGGATAAATTAATCTTAAATTTTGTGTATGTAGTATTTAATAGAAATGTAGAAACATAAGGATAAAAAATAAGATCTTGTAAGCATATTACAAAGAAAATTATTCTATTTTTACCAATTATGAAATGACGCTTGAAATGAAATAAACTCTAATTGTTCCAACCCAATTAAAAACTGCAGATTGATTTACGAATTTGAACTCATCGATTTTCAGGTCAAACCAGGCCTATTCTGCAGTTTCGAAGTACAATAGCCGCCGGATGAATTAAAAGAACTTTAATACTTGACAAATAATTCGGTCGAACTTCCCAAGTCTTTCCACCCTTCATTTTATGCTTACCCTCTTTTTTCTATTTCTCGATTCGCGGAGAAAGAGATTGGCATTCGAGGTTCAATGATAAATGAGCTGCGCTGAATTGGAACGACCCTTCCTTGCTATTTTCTCTTCTAGAGTTTTCTCTCACTTCATGAACTACTCTTACTTTGTTTATTATTTCTTTCCATTCACTTTAATTTGTCGGTTTGGCGGCATATTGTTATTTTGAAGCTGAAAATTTTCGAATTAAAGTTTCTTTGTTTTTTTTTCTTTAAAAGTGTAATGTAATCTGCGTCTTTTTAAAAGAATTTATATTTAAGCAAATGATTATTCCGAATTTTTTTCTATTTCTTTTAAAAAATATCTAAATCTTATTTATTTATATAAAACAATTTTTTGTAGATAATGCGTGAATTTCAAGTTTTATAAAATTATTTCAAGTTTCATAAAATATACGAAGCTAAAATTACTTATATAACTTTATTATTAATAGAAGAAAATAAAAGGTAAAGACCTGTTGGCGAGTACTTAAATTAGTTTTTTAGATTCCAGGATAAAAAGTTAGATCAAAAGATATAAAACTATAGTTACGTCTTTATATTATAACTTTTGCGGAATTCGTTCGAGATATTCAGTTATTTTTGGAATTTGTCACTCGATAGATTAAATTATTATTAAATAAATAATGAAAAATCAATATTAAATAAAAATAAAAAAAATTTGAAAATAAAATATAAAAATATTTTATAATTTATTATTTAAAATTTTACTTTTGAATAAAAGATTTTTTATCTTTTAATTATTATATAAAAAACATTCTAAATTAAATTAAAAAAAAATCGTACATAACAAATTAAATAATAAGAAATCAGTTATTAATATTGAAAGTTATCTATATGATATCTTATATGATATAACATAATATAAATCTTATTTTTGAAACCATACGTCTATCTATTGGAATCGTTTGAAACAAAAAAACGCACTTATTCTAATCCTAATAAGATTTGAATTCTCGCTTCTAATAACATAATATCCGCGAAAACTAAATCCCATTATCTTTTCCTCATTCTTCACTTGTTAGTGATTCAATTACTTGCGTTTCCATAGATCAAAGAAAAGGCCTAATCCTTTCAACAACGAAGCCTTTCGTGGGCGGAGCGTCGACACCTTTTTTCGAGATCACACCTTACAAACTATCGTACATTGTACCAATACATATCTCGTTTTGCGTGCATGCATAGAGGGATCGTTTATGCGCGCGCAAGATTGGTCCAGATTCCTGCCCGAGTCTTCGTTGTCCTCTTCCATTTCTCTCTTTCTCTTTCTCTGGTTCTTGGTGTTCTCCTGTTACGCTTCCACGATTCTCCTGGTACGTGTGCGTGCCTGGTGGCGCCGCCGATCGGGCAAAATCCTCGAACCCCAGAACGAGAGACTCCGAGACTTGGATACCCCCCGTTGTTCAGTCGTGGGTGCAGTGCGTGCGGGTGTGCAGTGGTTTCGGGAGCTGCTTCAACAACCGGCGTGGCCTGCAGCGCGCGAGGTTAGGTCAGTGTTAAATTGTCAAGCATCGCTAACATTTCTACATACATCGAACTTTCGCTGATTTTTTTCACGGTATTAACATTATCTTTTTGTCATTTGTCATTCGTTTTTTCCAAAAGTGACACAAATACATTTAGAATTGGAGAGAATGTGTTTGATTCTTGATAGTATGTAACTAATATTTTTGTATGAGGGAGATTCAAATAACCGCGTAACCGTCATTCTTGATGGGGATATTTCTAACGGTTATTTTCGAGAACGGAAAAACTGTTTTATTGAATCGCCGAAATTTGATAAAAATTGGATTCCTTCAAAGGAATCAAGAATTGTAGACGATCAATCAAATTTGTCGAAAACTTTATTCATCTATTTTTCGGTTAATCCACGCGATTAACCTCTTCGAAGATTCGCGATACGTGCATTTGTGGAATAGCGAAGCGCGCCATAAACTTAACTTATACCACGTACATGTATATTTACGTGGTGGCGTTCGGGAACACGGCGGAAGAAAATAACGTAAAGTGTTCGCGTGAGACAAGTTAGAACGAATTGCTGCGCATTCGTGTGAACATTGTTGAGACGTATGATTTTTGGTGTTGTTGTGTTGTTACGATGAACCAAGTCATCGCGCGGTCCTCGTAAAAGAAGGTCATCTTTTCTGCGATTATCCGAAATAAAATATCATTGACCCAGTTAGCAGCGCAAAAGTAATTAGACATTCGTGGTGGAGTAGACTAACAGGGACCGTAGGTGAGAGCATAGTGTTGATCGATCCTTCGTCGTTGTCGAGCGCATGTACACGATCCATCGTAAATTCACGTTTCCACTTGTGTATCGGTGCGTGCGGTGACATCGGCTTGAAATACGACACGCGGGCCGCCCATCGGCAAGTTACGATGCCTAGAAGAGGAGGAAATTTAGTCTCGTACGGGTAATTCAAATTTCCAACCAAGTACGAGACGCGAACGAATAGCCGGATTTTCTTGCTAACGATATTCATATTCGTTACCTTAGCTCTCTCGTTTTTCATCTCTTTTTCTCCCTCGACGGTTGATAGTGAAATCTTGTTTCCCTCATCTGATCGTTCCACTATTCCACTATCGATCATGCATCTTCGATTTCCATTATGACGTTTTACGTTACGCATTTTGAAAATTTTTTAGTGTTTTTAGATCGATCAAAGACATTTTTATTTATAATTTTGGTAATCGAATAATAACATTTTTTCCAATATCGATAAATTTTATCTATTTTTTTCTTACGTATATGATAAAATAAAAATTTATGGATAATTTGTTAATTTTATTATGCTTTAGAATTGTGTTCAAGTTGAGGCAATATATTTACGTTTATGTGAAACGATATTTATGTATTTTCTCTTTTTTAAAATAATTTATAGTTTATAATTATGATGGAAATCGTAAAATATTTGAGAAGTTGAATTATGGAAAATCTATGGTAAATAATTGAAGATGTTATTCAACGTTTTACATGTATTAGCTGTTAATATATTTGTGTTGATTAATTGAACTGCATTTCCGTGATACGCTTCATGGTAAATGTAACAAGCGAAATTAGTTTAATCATAATTGGTGCATCAAACGTCATAAATTAGTCGCACAGAAGTTTCAACCGTTCGAGATTATCTTCATTCATGACAAAATCGCGATATGTGACAAGTGATTTGTTAGTAAAGGATGGAAATTATTTTTCGTAGTAATATATATAATTCTTTCTGTGATCATAAATTTGTTTCAAAATTATATTCTTTAATTGATAAAATTATTTTTTGACTATGCATTCATATATAATAATATATGAGTAAATTATATAAAAATTTATTAAATCGTTATATATAATTTATCTTATCGTGTGATTTTTAAAATATTTATTATTATTTAAACTATGTTAATATGAAACATTTGTTTATTCAGTATTTTTTAAAAAATTACATTGATTATTTTAAATTTGATTTTAATTTAATCTTCATATATTTTTTTGAACATTTGTTAGAAAATTAATTTATTAATTTAATTAAAAAATTATACCTTACTTTAAAATGTATTTTTATATTGAAAAAATTTGCGGATAATATGAAATTTAATTTTTATGAATAAAAAATTTAATTTCTCTGTTAAATATATATGTATTTAGTAACTTTACTTGTTATTATACATAAGATAATTATTTATAAAATTATTGATAATATTCTTAATATTTATGAATACATAAAATAAAAATATATCATAATTTTTAAATATACTATATTTTATCAAGAATAAATGAAAATTATATATTGAAAAAAATTTGAAAAAAATTTCTTAATTTAACGAAGATATTAAAGCACCGCAGAAAATTACACGCATTTGAAACTTGTTCATTTTTATTTTTCTATTATTTATTTTTTATACTAGAAACATACAGTGGTTCATAAAGTTCATATTTTACATGAAAATTCATCTAACTCGAAAATTCTGATTTTAATGAAAGTTTATACGTTATAGAAAAAATAGATTACATAGAACAATTTTTTTGTCGATCAGAAATGACAGGAGATGAAATCAATCCTTAAAATTTCAAAATTTTGTCAAGTTTCATGTACAATTTTGTTTCGAAATTTTTTTTTATATTCTCCTTTATTAAAATGATATTTCGATAAAAAAAATTGCTTCACATCCAATCCATTATGCTCTGCACAATCAGGAAATTTTATTAAAAATAAGAAATTGTCAAAAATCAATTTATATTTCAATAAAAAATAAAAAAAAGTTCGAATATTTTTTCGAACTATTGTAAATTTATTGTTATATAACAAATAGCAATGAAATAGAGGAAAATAGTCAAATATAGAATAAATATGGAATATATTGTTCTTTGAATTCTTGTAAATCAATTGCAAGAAATAAAAGATTTTTGTAGTATTTAATCACATATTTATTGTATATAAAATTTTATTTTAAAACAATTTAAGTTTATAACATTATAAATAATTATCAATATTAAAGAAAGTTAAATTGAATTAAATGAAATAACTATTTAAATACAGAACACTAATTAGAAATAACAATACTTTCATAAAAAAAAAAAATCAAACAATTAGAGTTAACATATATATTAGGCACATGATCTATGTTTGTTCGGACCATTTTTATGGCTTCAACCGTTTTTTTCTTCATTCCATAGCTTTTGCTAATGCTTCGTTGCATTGGATTTCTAATAATAAATAAACTATAACAAAAAAAATGTAACCTAATTATAGAATTATAAAACACATCAATATTTTTGTAAAAAAAAAAAATATATGTAACTTTATAAATACTATATATATTAAATATATTTGGGAACTTTAATTTCCAATAAAAGTCTCTAATTTTTCGAAAAGGTCTAATTCGATCGACAAATCACAACAATGCACTCAATTCTTATCTGTTAAATATTCTTTTCAGATTCTCAACTATTTCACATTATTATATATTATTTCATATTTGCCTACTTTCTTCTATTATTTTTATTTAACAATCCCCATTTAGCAATCATTTTCATCATCCTCTCTTAATTTATTAACAAAATGATCGAATAACTATCTGTGTAAATTTATCAAGCAGCTATTCATGATTCGATATTGTTTTCCTGTTTACACGAATGCTAATCTGTAGTGTAATTTGTAAGTGAAAAATGCACGAGTTGCCAGCTTGATATTCAAGTGGAAAATCCATTGAGTTAATCCTAATCCCAGCACCGATGAGTGGTTCACCTGGACTGATCAGACTACCTGCATAACGATCGTTGAAAATCGGATTAAATGCTGTCAGGTATAGGCTTGAATTTACATCCAGCGGTTATCTCGTTGAATTGCAACGTACTTTCCTCTAATGGCCTTTCGCGAAATACGCGAATCAATCAATCGCTTGCCAACTCGCAATGTAGCATTCGGAAATGACGAGCACAACACTTCGTTGTCCGGCGCTTAAACTCTTATTTGTTTCGTGATAAATTATCCTTTCCCATCTTCGTTTCCGTTCCATAATCTTTCCCGATAATTCATTTCAATCATTCGTTAAGATGTAATTTAGAAAACGTTAATTTGCTACTGTTTTTGAGGTTAGGTTATTGCTATTCTAAGAGGTTATTATTTTTATGGACAGTGTTAGATGTTAATAAAAATATTCAATTTAATATATCAATTATATTAAAATAATATTAAAAATGAACGCAATATCAGCTAAAACATGTATATTGGATATTTTCAACCATTCGTTGTTTATTTGTGACTGATTCAATTCAAATCGTTATCTCTTTCTTAGTTTGAGAATTCTTAAGTTGAAAAAAAATATAAAAGATATATATATATATAGTGAAATATATACGAATTTAAAAAATGATTATTGTGTATAAATTTGAAAACAAAAGAATTTAAAATGATGACTTGATTGAACTATAGCGTTTCCTGTTGAAAAATAATTAATGTAATTGCGAATGGCGTCCAAGTTGATTCCAAGTATCATGCCATCCGTGAGAAACATGGAAATTTTATTATGGCGCAGATGCATGGCAAATGGAGTAGTCTTGAAACTTAAAGTAAGCTGCACGACAATATTAATAGCTTTTTAATGTCAGGGAAAATATGATTACCGCAACTCTCTTAATATACATTAACGCGAACCCGATGTGCGATAAATTAAGTTATTTAAATTATATTCTAGAGCGTGCTAGGTATCCAATTTTGTACCTTTCAACGATAGGCGAAGGCGTATTTTGTCTTTCCTTTTAATCTCACTCGCCTTCCATCATTTCATTTCTCTGCACCACGAAGACAATTTTCTTCTTGTGCTTCGTTCGAATCGTCATTGGAATATGATGACATTACATTTTTATTCACAAGTATAATATAATTTTCATTTTGAAAATGTCTCAAAATCTATATTTACGTTATAAATTATAGATTTTGATGTGATAACATCTTTAACGTATAACACATACTTTGCCGATATGAATAGAACAGCTGTTGAGATCGTGTTTGCTGCTCTTATGTTAAGTATGCTTTCTTAATTAGTCGGTAATCTTTGATGTATGTAGTATAGTAAGTGAATAAAGTTGAGTATCTTTAATAGATCTTATCTTTCTTAATCTTATTCCATTTTGAATGTTATTTTTAATTTATTAAGTAATTATTAAGTAGTTACTAAATATTTGGACGATCTAGAAATATATTTACCTGCTATAATCGAATAACAGATCACAGTAAAATATTTCACTTATTGCATTATTTACACATCTCTTAAATGACGTATTATATATTAAATTTGGTGCATTTATGATAAAAAAAGAGAGAAAGTGGAAAGAAATTGTAAATATATTTATTCATATCATAAATTAAGTAGTATAAGTCAATATATACGACCTCTGTCAGTCAATCAGATGTGAAATAATCTTTTTTAATGATCTTATAAACAAAATATTTTTTTTCTTTTGTGAATAAATTTTATATATTTTCTTCTTATTGTGGATTGAAATTTAACGGTGAAATGATTTATCTTTGATACTATTTTTCATGATATATTTTTTAGAGATATTTGAGATAAAAACTTTTTAAATCTTAAAAATGAAACGTTTTAATTTCTGAAGATAAAGCGTTCAATTGAGATAGTTCACCTAGTACTTTTTTAGCTTGTGCCGTGGCCAATAAAAAAGATAAACCATTCGATAGTTCTTGCCAAGTTTTTTTCACTTATCCTGTACGAGATTTAAATTCAGTTTATCTCATAAAATATGAGAATAATACTTTGAGAAAAATGTTGTCAACATTCTATACCGGAAAGTTAAAACGATAAAAATCGATGATATAAAATCATATTATATTACAAATATACCATAAATGTTATGAATAATAAGTTGATAAATTTGTCTGTTTTTAGTTAATTACATATATTCGATTAATTATCTGTTTTATAGTTATATATTTTAATATTTAATAAACTTGTAATTTAATTTACATTTTATCGGATTATTTTGCAAAATATGGACATGCATTACTTGTTTAAGAGACAAATAATTACAGGATTATATTACATATAAATCAAATGTACCTAACTATTGCGTGGACTATCTTTTGACAATACATTTTAATATAACGATGCAATATACATTTATATAAATTTTATTATTGTTTTATTGTACAATACATATTGTTAAATACACATTCTTATATTGAATATGTAAGATCAATGAAATATCTTCATAAAGTGAATATATCGATACAACCAATATCAGCGCTATTTAAAGGCATTGGAATTCGTGCATTTCATAGATACTTCAATACATTCCACGGTTAGATTGATCGCACACCCATCATACCAATACAATCTGGAATCATGACAATTCAGATAATTGGAGAAATACTCTATATCTGTTGCCTATCTCTCTTGTCTATGAATCTCGTCCTATATATTATTGAGATATTTCTTAGAACGATTCTTATTTCCAATCTAAATGCATATTATATTTAGTTCATTTTTGAAAATTTATTCTCAAACTCTTCTCTGTAATATATCTTTACAAATATATAACAAATATATTGTATATAATTATACTGTAAGTATTATAAACTGTATAGATGAATGCTGTGGGAAATATAAGATTTTATTTTTAAATATCAAAACCAATTTTAATCATTCCATTTGAAAATATAATTTGCTTTTGCATGATATATACAGGGTCTCATAATATTAAGGCTTATTTATTAATAATTTTAAATTCATTAGATAAAATAAGACTGTTTTCGTTACATTGCGTTGCATCTCGCTTCATCTAACGCAAAGTTCAATTGCTTATAATTTGCTTATAATAATAAATCGATATTTTTATCTCATATCGTATTACCAACTTTTCTATTCGTTTTAGAATTGACTCTCCAAAGGTGAGACTCGTCAATATATCAAAAAAACTTTGTACATATGCGAGTGTTTTTCACATGGCCATAGTGTGAAACATAGTCCTCAACAATATCGATTTATAATACTGGATAAGCGAGACGCGTTTCCGGAACTCTTGTGTCGCGTTTCTTAGATTGTTTCTACCTGTCGTTGAATATTGTTAAATTATTGTTATTGCGAATAAATAAACAATATCTTACATTTATTTCAATAGCTATATACTGTATCAATATATTATCAATCAATATTTTTATAATATTCTTAAATAATAGAATTTTCATCATTCACAGTATAAAAATATATTATATTATTTTCAAAAAGAATCAACACAATCATTTTATACTTCTTCCATCCTCGTGATAAAACTGTTACTATTTCTTTATTACGAAATTTTTGAAATTCTAAAAATCCAGAGAAATTAACATGCACGTTTCGTTTCACAGATTCGTGGTCCGCGGTTAGTTGTGAACCCGAGCGGGGGCTCGAGGGGGAGTAGTGCGTCGGTCATAGTGGAGGAGAGAGGGGTTCACGATGCCCCCCATAATAGGGGAAACGTTGCGTGTGTGGTTCCTCTCGGCATTGGTGGTTCACGGTGCTGTTGCTGGCAATCCGGACGCGAAACGCCTTTACGATGACTTGCTTTCTAACTATAACAAACTAGTGCGCCCTGTTGTGAACACCTCGGACGTGCTACGCGTGTGCATCAAGTTGAAACTCTCCCAGCTCATCGACGTGGTGAGTAAAAAAAAATCTCATTCTTAAGCTGAAACGTAGATGTCGATGGATTATTAAGTTATGCCTCGTAATAACTCAACATCGTATGTTGCTGTATGAGCTTGGAAATTGGATGGGTTGAAAAATTAATCGATTAAAAGGAAAATAAAAATTGTTTAAATATAATCAATGATATTTATTAAAATTTTGATTGATTTAAATCCATCGATGCATCGTGTTTCGATGTACCTTTACTAGTTTTATCTTGTGGTTTTTCTATAATATAATACAATTGGAAAAAGTGTTTCCTTACACTCTGCTGGCAATTTATCATGGATATAATCGGTCGCCAACGAGAGGAAACGAGAAAATCGTGACGATGTCCTGCGGTTAAAATCGTACATAGCATTTCCGTTATTTGGGTTAATATGGATAGATACGATTATTCGATTACACGGTTATTATGTCATCATTCATCGAAATGAATTTAGTCGTTGATTGTACATGTCTGGCTAGCCGGTGAAGACTAACTAAATATTGAAAATTGATCGGAAATTACGTGACGTTACTCGTTGTTGCGTTAATTTTTTTTTTTTTCAAATAGATTCCTTTTTACATATTTACGATCTGATGATGTTGTATGAATAATTGCTACTTTTCTATTAATTATTTTATAAAACGTAGAAAGTGGATAGCGTTGCAACGAGAGCTTAAGCCGTTGTATTTTGTTATTATTATTATTAATAAATTCATTACTGTATATATTAACAAGAAGAATTAACTGTATTTCCATACTTTTATATTGTGTAAAATTGAAAATAAAAAAATAATCAAATTATTTATCAATGTGTTAGGTGATGTATTTCATTCTAAGAATATTTTTATTAAATTTTGAACGTTGAAAACGAAATTAAAGTACGATATAAAATATTTTATTAATCAAATATACATATCGTTATAAATTGTAAAGTAAATAATTATAATGATGATATTAATGAAAAAGATTTTATTCTTAATATTAATAACGTCGATTTGTGCCGATTCTTTATTCAATCTTATTGTCAATTTCCATTATACTTTTATTTCTTGTTGGAGAAATTAAATTCGCAGATTATCTAGATTGCATGATCTCTAGTATTCATTTCGTAATAATTTTCCACTTGAATGCGATTTTCATAATTCACGAGGATGAAATGCTGCATACCAGAGGTTTTATCGGGGTTTAATCGACAGGGGGAAGTCAACCTATTTACTTTTCTCGATACAAAATCACGAGGTCTTGAAGATCCAGTTACTTTCACTGATGAATTGGTCATAATTTTTCGACGAAAAATGTCGGAAAATAATTGCAATAAATGACAATTATACGCATACAATTTAAATATTTAAATTTATATAAAAAATAGAATTATCTTTAATTTTATATAAAATGTTTAAATCGATCTTAAATATCTCGAGAACTATCGATGATAATGCAGAATATTTTAGATAAAAATCTAATCGTTTTACATAATTTGATGTAATTTGATCTTTTTCTATGTAATTTTTCTATGTAGATTTGGATTTTTATTTTTATTTTTTTAATATTATCTTAACTTTTTAATTAATAAGATATGAATTGATGCAATTAATATTTTTAAATTTGAAAGACAAGGTACATAAGAAATAATATTTACTCTTCTTTTCTTGTTTTTTAAAATATAATCCAAACTAATGATCTTTTGGCACAAATGACTTCGTAATTTTTTATTGACTGGCTCTATCGATTTAAAAAGATAAAATTGTTCGCCCAAATGTTCTGTATAGGTCGAAAATACGTTTTACATCAAATTACACGTCTCTTTAAATCAATTTTATTTAAAATATTTTTTAATATTTTCATTAACAGTTTCCGAAATATTATTTGGATGAATTGATTTAAATGGATTTATCTTATATCGTCATCTACATCAATTAATAACGTATAATATAAATGAATTATCGTATCAAGTATATATATATATCAATTTTAAATTCATTTTTCCAGCTTAACTATAGAATAATCTATACAAATAAAAATAAAAAAAAATATATAAAATTTTCCTTTAAGATTATAATATATGCATACAGCAATAACATTTTTTTCTGCTTTTTCTCTGTATGCAGATTATACTCCTTTAATTTGAAATAATTATTATTATAGATTAGATCACAAATTATATTACAATCATAAATATTATATTTGTTTCAATAATACTTGCAAAACTAATTTCACGGATTAACCAAATATGAAGTATCAATCACGAATTAATATTCGATATTATTTTAACGTGTTAATCCATAAAACGACCAATATAATAATGGAAAAGCTTGAATGATTTCTCGATGCCATCGTTGACAAAGAGTATCCCGAGAAACATCGAGCGCGCAGAAGCGAAAATAAATTGCGGATCAAAGAAGTTACGATCCTTTTATGAAGTGCCAAGTTTGAGGGAAGTCGCGGAATTATTTCCATTAGCATGTGCCGGTTATTCGGATGGCGTGGCAGCAAATTGCGTGGCTGTATGCCGCATATATACATATATACGTGTAAATTCTACAGCTAGATTGCGTGGTTTCTACTTGCTATTACGTCGATTTCAGGAAAGCATTCGCACGAGTTCTGATAGCTTTCCTTGGAATTTTCCTTCCCCTTTCCTTCAAACTTAAATTATCCGATTTTTAACAACTTCAACATTTAAAACGCTCGAAACGACGTAATATCGGAGTAAGCAAGAAATCGATGTGATGTTTAGCAAGGAATTATGCATTGCCTCACTTTTTATGTTTTTTTAAAGTATAATATTAATGAAATAGATTTTACGACAGAAAATAGATAAAGAAACGAAATTTGGAAAGAAATGTTTTGGAGGATTCTAAAAAGGGATTTTTTATTTAAAATTCTTCAATGAAATGTGAAATAACGAAAAATTTGGAAGCAAAAGTGTGAGTTTTAAGTGAATCTGTCAAATTAGTTGTAGATACGAGTAAAAATTTAGAATTTCTATAACGAAAAAGTCAAAATGAAATGTAGTTTAATAAATTATGATAAATTAACAATGTTTGCAAAATATTTGTAGTTTATTGATGAAAAACATTTTACAAATTAATTTTTTCGGATAAAAGATAACAATTTATAACTGAAAATATAGGAAAAATTGTAAATTAGGTATTGTAATACAAATAACATCAGTAAAATAATTCATATATTTTATATTACATCTTATTTTTATATATAGATTTGAATATATTTCGCATATATCTTTACATTTTGAAATGTTATAATTGCATAAACAGTCTATTAATAATATTCTTTTAACATTTAATTTGCATATCTCCATTTCGCTGTCAAGCAAAATTTAATTTTCTGTACAATAGATGATTTACACGAAATTTTCGAATTTTTTTCTTTTTCATCACGTGTATCTGTTATATTTTTCTACTTTCATATTTTTTTGGCAAATAAAACCAATCAATCATTTCTATCTATCAACCATCCTAACAATGTATGTATTAAGATCATTTGTTTTATAGTTTTATGATTTTTAAATAGAATTTGTGATACAACAACAATTGTGAACAATTATTCATACATTCGTAAATTTTTAAATTGATTAAATATAAGTTAAACATGATAAAAAATGCGAAAAGTTTTATATTCCTCCCATAGAGATATTGGTAGTTCACTCTGAAGTTTCACGACTTTGTATTTCAAGTTTTGCACAAGTTTCTTCGCAGCATGTATTATCATCTAAAATTTACATATTTCTCTACTTTGACGAACTTTCACAATAACATTTGATTTATATGAATTTAAATAACAATGAAAATTTATAATAATAAAATTCGAAACGAAAGAAATATCGTTAAGAAAAGTTTTATTATAAATTTATTTTTGCAAAATGTTTAATTCAGGTGTTAGTTCTTAATTAAATTTTTTACTTATAAAATAGTTGTTGGCGCATCATTAACTAGTTTTAATCTGATTAAAAATGGATATTGTTTCGACTTAAATTGGCAGCTGATTTATTAAATTATTTATTCAGTATACTTTGGATACTTGTTATTAATGAAATTCAATGTTTATACATTGAATAGAATGAAATTATTGTTTTATTGTATTTTATGGTTTGGAATTCATTTTTATGTATAAGTAGAAAGAGTCCAAGTTTTTAAAATATATATTTATATACATGTGTGCTCTTTTTTAACAATTTTTTTTTTGATAATTTTGAAAAATGAAATTTAATCAATTACTATTATTATTAATGTTATTTCATAAACGTAACATATAATTGTTTTAACAATTTATTATAAATTAATCATTTGCAAGATTGTTTTTAGAATTTTATCGCGTATAAAAATTATTAATCTATCAGATTAAATTAAATATAAATGTTAGTTTCTAAAAGATATTTGTTGCATATCTTCGAATCGAATGAATAAAACAATGTACGATGGAACTCCATTTATTGGAATGAAATTTTAATTAGTAACCGAACTAATTAATTTTAATTGGTAACCGAAACCTTATCGATTGAATTTGCTTACTTGAACGTGAACTCTTATTATGCGAACTGTTTTTCCCCGAATTCAAAAAAAAAAAAATGGAAATATTAAAAAAATTCTAATACTTGAACACTCTTCTGTTATCTATTATCTATTTATTTATACAATTTTAAAATTTTAAATAGCACAATTTATGTTGTGCAATTTAACGAATTTTATACATGTATAATTACAAATCATTTCTTCTATATAGAAGATAATTATTATTTTAGACAAAGAATTTTTACAAAAGGAATCTCGAGAATAATAGATCAAGAACTCTCTTCATTTTTGTCTAATAGAATTTTACGATATTAATAATTAATTTTTCATTACTCAGATATTACTTTTACTAGTTATTAAGTTCGATAGGCAATTATTTAAATAGCAGAAAATCAATATATATTCCATCTAAAAGATATGGCAGCGACGATTCTTCCATTATTCTGATATTT